ATGGGCTGTGGAGTTTTTATAGCATGTTGGGTGGAGAAGGCCTCAGAAAGGAAAAGGTTGAGAACCCCTGGCCTATGGGATGTCTCTAGTTCAGGGATCGGCAACATTTGGCACACGGCTCACCAGGGTAAGCACCCGAGCAGGCCGGGCCAGTTTATTTACCTGCTGACGCGGCAGGTTCAGCCGATCGCGGCCCCCATTGGCCGCGGTTTGCCGTCCCGGGCCAATGGGGGCGGCGGGAAGCGGCGCAGGCGAGGGATGTGCTGGCCGGGGCTTCCTGACGCCCCCATTGGCCCGGGACGGCAAACCGCGGCCAGTGGGGCCGCGATCGGCCAAAACCTGCCGCGTCAGCAGGTAAATAAATTGGCCCGGCCCGCGAGGGTGCTTACCCTGGCGAGCCGTGTGCCAACCGTTGCCGACCCCATTGGCCCGGGACAGCGAACCGCAGCCAATGGGGGCCGCGATCGGCTGAACCTGCCGCGTCAGCAGGTAAATAAACTGGCCCGGCCTGCTCGGGTGCTTACCCTGGTGAGCCGTGTGCCAAATGTTGCCGATCCCTGAACTAGAGACATCCCATAGGCCAGGGGTTCTCAACCTTTTCCTTTCTGAGGCCTTCTCCACCCAACATGCTATAAAAACTCCACAGCCCATCTGTGCCACAACAGCAGTTTTTCTGCATATAAAAGCCAGGGCCGGCATTAGGGAGTAGCAAGCAGGGCAGTTGCCTGGGGCTGAATGCCACAGGTGGCCCCATGAAGCTAAGTTGCTCAAGATTCAGCTTCAGCCCAGAGTGGTGGGGCGTGAAGCAGCGAGGCTTCGGCTTTCTGCCCTGGGCCCCAGTGAGTCTAATGCCAGCCCTGCTTGGAAGACCCCCTGAAACCTGCTCATGGCCCCTCAGCGGGCCTCACCCCCCTGGTTGAGAACTGCTGCCATAGGCTTTCCCAATCAAGAAGTTTGTCTTGAATTCTAATAGAACTACCATGCTAAGAAGGAGACAATGAGTGACTGAAAGTTTGGGAATCAGAATAAAAATTCGATGACGCTAAGTCCCTCCACCCACCCCCAGTTAAACCTTGATCAGTGCATGTGGCCTTGTGCATGCACAATGGGTTATTTAATTTTCTAATCAGAGTGGAAAAGGGGAACTGGCTTTCTCTACATTTCTCTTATAGGGAATGGGCAGGGGGTGGTTGGAGAGGATCCATGTTGTGTTTCTAGTCAAAGCTGATTCATCTTTCCATTTGTCCTGTGAATGGAAAACATCTAGTTACTATTTGTTTAACACTGCAGACCCAGCCTCCATTTAGCACAGCTAGGAAGGGTAGGAGTGGCAAATAGCCTGGGAAGGTTCTCTACTCAATCCCAAATCCTTGGGAAAGGGGCACCCTTTTTTCTTCCTATTAATGTTAGTGAAGACTGATAAAACATTTCACAGAGCAGCACCAAATCACAGGCACATGCTCTTATTACTGTGATTATTTTCTGTAAATGCAACACATCCCAAGTGTGGTTGTGGTTGCTGCTGTAAGAAGATACACCTCTACCCCGATATAATGCTGTCCTCGGGAGCCAAAAAATCTTACCATGTTATAGGTGAAACCGCGTTATATCGAACTTGCTTTGATCCACCGGAGTGCGCAATCCCGCCCCGTTTCCCCCCCGGAGCACTGCTTTACCACGTTATATCCGAATTCCTGTTATATCGGGGTAGAGGTGTACATAGGCTCTCACACATAAGACAGAGTTAATATATCACCTGTTCTAGTATTTTAAAATCATCTGACACGTTCTTGCAAGTATTTATAAAAGCTTATATATTGTTGTGAAAGGCAGCAACTATTTATAGTATTGACATTAGCTTTGGATTTTAAAATTTAAATATCAGCGATAGTTTTGTATGTGAGACAGTAGTTTATTGCTACTCAGCAGCGAAAGATAATCATACTTAAGGACAGAAAGTTCCATCACTCTTCAAGTTTTCAGCTATTTATTTTTGAGTGAGCATTCTGATTGTATAGTGATTGACAGCATACGGTATTGACAATGTTAAGTCAATATTTCTCAGGCTCCAGATACCTAATGATGTAATGTATGGGCCCTATTTTAATGCCACCAGCACCCTAGTGTGTCTTGGATTTTTGCACAGTCTAAATATAAAAGTGGATCATTTAGTGGCTGTCTTTTCCCTCCTAAAATTCTATGCCCATTTTAGGAAACATGCCATATTTTCTTAGAGGATGAAGAGCATATCCAGTTGGTGGTGGGAGGGTCAAAATAAAAGGAACTTTTATCTCTGGTATGCAAGTTTCATATTGTCGATGCTAACTATCCTTATATATCCTGAAAAAAAATAGTGCCTAAGTTAAAACTGTCCTCTGGCAGCCCTGAGTTGTGTGACCTGTATTTATGCCATAGAGAACCTTGTTTTCACAGATCTTAGCATTTTCACAAGGGTCAGATTTTTACATGGATGAAGTGTATTCTTAAACAGTTTTGCCAGCATATTAGGTACAAATATTTTTTTCTATAGTAGGCAATTCTTTTTCCATTTATTGGCCTGATCCTCAGCTGGTTTAAATCAGCATAATACCACTGACTACTCCTGCCAAGGATCTGGCTTATTGCACTCTCCAACAGGATAAGTTACAATTAATTGAAAAAAAAACACACACCTCATTTTCCATTCATATTTGATTTCTGTTCCCTAGACACTGATGCAGTGTTCTTCTATCTACCATTGTTGCTTTTCAAAAATGTCAAGACCTTTCAAGACTCTAGTGCCATTCAACAAATGATAGTGTTTATCACTCTTTATTACTTAGCAGTAGAATTAGTAGCAGGATCTATGGTACACCATGGATAGACAACATTACAGCAGCTCTGTCAGGTGGTTTTTGTGTATTGCCTGCTGGCAGGGGTTAGCATCTAGGATTATGTCTACACTACAAGCGCTACAGCTGCAGTGCGCTGCAGCTATACTGCTGTAGTATAGACACTTACTTTAGCAATGGAAGGGGGTTTTCCATCACTGTAGTAAATCCACTCTTTTGAGAGATGGTAGCTAGGTCAACAGAAGAACCTTCCGTTGACCTAGCTGCAGCTACAGTGAAGGTTTGGTTGACCTAATGTCACACAGGGCGTAACATTTTTCACAGCCCTGAGTGATATAGCAAGGTTAACCTGTTTTAGGTAGAGACCAGCCTAAGTAGTAGCATACAATACATTTCCTATTTTGACCTACATTGCTTCCTAATATGATCCAAAAATAAGGAATCCAGTTACCCACACTTGAAATCTATATTTAGACACCCTTTTTGCACAAACCTCAACCAGAAGCTGTGCATGGCAGTGTACTATTTTGAATCTCTTTTGTGTAAAATACTATGTAATCAACTTAAGTGTTTTGCGATGCAGAACACACTCCTAGGACAAAAAAGATACATATGCATAACTTAGAATAGGACCCTTACATTATATATCACTACAGTAACTGCTGCAGAAAAACATCATTTTCAAGTTGAATAATGTGTATTACTGTTTATGTCTTTTAACAATTACCTGGGATTAAGTCATAAAACTTCCTAAAGTAATCTTTTCATTCTAATTCACATGAGGAACTTTGCCTAGAAGACAAAAATACTGTACCTCTGAATGGCCAAATGATAAGACTATACAAGAGATATATCTTATCAAAAGATTTGCAAAAGACCCCATCTTAAATCTAATTAAAAATAGTCTTTAATCTCTATGCAGCTGAAAGTTCAAAAAATAAGCTTAAGACTTTTTATGTTTTTTCTTTTTATATTTAATTGCAGCACAGAAAGTAAATTAAACACTTCAGAAGAAAACTTCACTGTAACTGTTGAAATTTTCTCTCAACTTCTTAAAATAACGGTTAGTTTTTTGGTTAGTTTTTTGGTTCATCAGATTCACACAGACAGAAAGAAATTCAACCAAAATAAGAAAAATCATTTAAATTTGGTCCATCAGTGGTCAGTAACATGGGTGAAATGTTTTATTTAAGGTTATTTCTTTTTATATTTAATAATGTGAATGTCGACAGCACTAAACACACTTATTAGTGTCTAATGCTGGACAGGATAATGTTTATTTGCAATACTTGTCTCCTGGTAGTAGACATTAATTTGTTTAGTATTTATAAATGGTTACATTTGCAACTGAGTGATTTAATGCCTGCAGTGATCATGCTAGGAGTCTAGCTTTTATAATGTACTGAAATGTTGACTTTACACCACAAGTGCCCTTGGTTTTAGATTTTTTTTAAATCTCTAGTTATTAGTTCAGAAACAGATTATAGTGTGGTTTTTGAGGTGTGAGTGAGCATATCTTGCATGGATTATCTGTGCCAATATTCTAGAAATAAAAGGGATGTGCAAATACATTTAGAGCTTTATGTTTTGGATATATTTATTAATATGGTTTTTCAGCAGTTGACAACTTTCAGACAAGAAATACTAGTTAGGAGACATAAACAAATGTATATTTTCTACATCAGAGCCTTAAGATTAAAAAAAATTGATTGGTTCAGCCTTACATTGCTGTATAGCAGGGGTTGGCAACCTTTCAGAAGTGGTGTGCCGAGTCTTC